TTTCCCTTTAGAAACCCCTCGGGCAGTATTCTCCTCTGTCCTGGAGGTTTGCCATGAGTGGAATCGACTCAGTGGCAGTGGGTTTGGTTCGGGTCTTTTTCCAGCGCCGTGCCTTAGTTGCGTGGCAGACACACTCTCAGGAGAAATCTGACTTGCTTGAGTATGGCTTGACCCTACCATGTCATTCTGGTTCTGGCTATGCATTGACGGAGCTAGTTCTTTATGAGGAATTCGTTCTATGTGATGACAGAGCATATGCCTTATTACACAGGGAGGCAAGCTCGGCATTGGGGACATTTTGGAACTTGGTCAGTGAATGGGCTGTCAGCAAATCCTCCTCCCAGGTAGCAAGCTGAGGGTCTTACCATCAGCCTCGTGGCCTGCTCCAGCGAGGCGGGCTGTTTCCTTTTACTTAGTTTGGGTCTAAACACATGCTTGGTTTCCATCCCTCTTTGTTAGACTCCTTCCTCCCCGCCTGGGAGGTTTTGAAAGGTGGTAGGAAGCAGAGCATGGTGCCCCTCTCTGTGGGATGCGAGCGGAGACCTAAATAAAGAAAACCCAAACAAGCCCCTCCCAGTGCGGGACAGGAAGCAGATTGCTGGTCCAGATGGATTTGTGTCAGTGGTTCATTGCTGGGCCATTAGTGCATGTGTGCGCACCTCTCCCTCCGCTGGTTCTTCTGTCTCAAGATACCGGTGCTGCTCTTAATAGACAACGTGAAGTGCTTAGACCGCCAGCATGCCCTGTAGTTCTGCTAATGCTGACTGAGAGGAAAGGGCACCCCACCAGGCAGAGTGGAGAATTAGGTGAAGAGGTTTGGTGAAAGTCGCTTAGAGAGGCTCCCTAAAGGAAGGTTTGGGTTGCAACCCTTCATTTACTCGAAAGCCAAATGCTGTAGCGGCGCCTGATGTTCCTTCCCCTCCTGATGTTGCGCACCCCTGGTGACAGAGGGGTGCCATTTGGGAGTGGGGCGGTGGGAGCAGCGAGGCTCTCTCTGGGATCACCGCTTTGTAACGGGTGTCTCTGCCGCTCTCTTTTCAGCACCACCGGTCGGAAGGCCCGTGCGGTGTACCCTTGCCAGGCTGAACACAGCTCGGAGTTATCTTTTGAAATCGGAGCCATTTTTGAGGATGGTAAGTGTGAGTGGGAGATTTGGCTGGGGTATGTTTTGTCACTCCACACGTCTGTACCACAGAAGCAGCAGTCTCCGGTGGTCATGTTGTCAGGGCCACGATTGTACCTCCCCCCCCCCACACACACACACACACACACAACACAGGGACAGAAGAGAGCTGACCCACTTGTCCCCGAGGAATCGAAAGGCCATGGGGCTGTGTCTTGATGGCGGAACGGCTGCTCCTGCTTTTGTCTGTGTTGTCTCCCACCCCCTTTACTCTTGCCGGTCTCCACTGACGGCTTCTTTCTCCCACCATACAGAGAAACGTGTGCCACTTGGAATTCATAAGTATTTGGTCGGCTTCCTTTGTTTTCCTCGCCCAGACTTCTCTACTCAGCCTTCAGGACTTTCTAAAGTCAAGTTGCCAGAGAAGAGTACTATGCTAGGACATTTTTGATGTATAATGAACGCCCTGACTGCTTTTGGAGCCCCGGTGGTGTGGCAGTTACAAGTCGGGCTGCTCACGGCGAGGTCAGCAGTTTGAAACCACCAGCTGCTCTGCTGGAGAAAGACGGGCTTTCTACTCCTGGAAACTCACGGGGGCAATGCCACCCTGCCCGATAGGGTTGCCATGAGTTGGCATTGTCTCCACCGGAGTGAAGCTTTATTTTTTTGCATTTCCTGTTTTTGGCACCTCCTGTGGCTTGTTCAGATCTGAACAGAGCATGGATCTCAGATAGGAGTGTTGACTTTGCTGGGGAGACGGGTGAGATTTTTCACATGAGGATTGCATATTCATACACAAACCTTTACGAGATAAGCCTGCCTCTACAGCTCACAGGTTTCTTCTGTAGTTCAGAGTCCGTCATTTTCTTTCCCTTTCGATTTCTCCCCTCCCTATGATAAAATTGCTCATTATGAAATTCCTTGGTTGCTGTGGAAACAGTGACATTGTGTCTGGGTGGAGCTCCCTAAAAGATTGGGGGCAGCAGTGAGAAGGTTAGGTGCTTGGAGTGGAGTGGTTGACCAGTCAGCACGCTGGGACTCTGTGGAAGACAGCAACGCAGTGCCTCGTCTCCACGACGCGTTGGCTGATGATGGTTTTTGGAAAGCAAGCCGCCCTCTTTTGAATATGTGTATCTGTATATGTTGGAAAACAAACAACAACACAAACATACAACAGAAGTACACTTGGTGGAGAAATTTTGTTTTTGGAGTAGAAGCAAGATCATCTCCCTGTTACCAAAACACATAATCAATCTTGCCAGGAAATTGTGGTAAAATTGCTTCCCAAGTTGGCACACCATATGGCAGGCGAGATGGGAGCATTGAAATGCACTCGCTAGAAAAATAATGATGCGTTTGCATCATCCCCGTGATTCTTGGGAATGGGGTTATCGAGGAGCCTCTAAGCCCCTTGTGCAGTATTTGTGTGATTCTTACCTCTGCAGAAGGGACATTTGGGAATCATGCAAATGGATTGAGCCCACACACTAATGTGTCGAGGTACGGAGCCCTGGTGAAGCATTGGTTAAGCGCTTGACTGTCAACCACGTGTTTATGGTTCAAACCCACTGGGCAGCTACACCAGAAAAAAATCTGCTTCCATAAAAACGTTGGTGAACAATTTAAAATCCTGAGGGAAAGTTCTCTGTGACATGGGACTACTGAGTCGGAATCGACTCAGAGGCAGCCCAGACTAGCAACCCCGAGGGATAGCTCCCAACCAAACCAGACTCGTCACCACTGAGTGGATTCCAACTCACAGTGAGCTTCAGGATTGGTTAATTCCGCATCTCAAGGACTTCCTCTGGGACCACAGTATTTCTGGGTCTCTGCTCTACTGTTACCAGCTTGTGTTTATGCCGGGTTGGTTTCTCTGCTGGGGACAAAGTGGCGGCCACCATTCTGGGCATTGTGACCACGCTCAGCAGAGTCAGGGTGCTTTGTTAATATGTGTCTTTTTAAAAAGAACTTTGAGAACTTTTACAGAAACGTCCTCCTTCACCTCCCTTTTTAGCCAGAACTGTTATGTTCACCTGAACTGTGATAGATGGATCAATTGATTCACTAGACATCCATCACAGCCCAAGACTTTGACCAGTCAGAACACTGGCCATGGGGACACTTGTTCTGGACTCCTTGCCATATGAATCAAGGTCAACATGTAAACCACATTTGGCTGTGACGTGTCTGACACAGAGGACATGCATCACCAGCTTCATAAGGCCCGAATGACTTCCGATGCTAGTTGCCATCAAGTGGAGTCTGACTCTGAGCAACTCCAGGTGTGCGAAGTCCACCTTGCCCACACGTTTTTTCATGACCATGACCTTCTGGAAGCATATTGCTAGGCTTTTTCTGAGGTGCCTTGTAGATAGTTGCTGAGCATTTATCCCTGTGTGCAAATCAGGAAGTCGGCCAAGGACTTATGGAAATCAAAATATTTCTCTCTCTCTCTCTCTCTCTCTC